TGTCCAATTTCCTTTTTGGGTGCCTTCTTGTGAGGGTTGTCTGTTTTCCACATTCTCCGACGGTAAAATACGACTTAGAGGAGGCTATTTGTTTTACTTTATGGGCAATAGTTGTCTGCGCTTGTTCTTGCTCATGACATAACTCGCCTCCTGTTGTAAACTTGACTCTGAGAAAAGAACTCTTTCCCATAGAGGGGGGTGCTGTAAAAAACTTATTTGAATATGAGATTTTTTCCCACTAAGGGTTATTTTACGGGAGATGAGGCCTGTATGAAATTATTTTCTGGGTTAAAAGCAATAAGAAAAACCGATATCTGTTGTCTGACTCCTTCTTCATGTGTGCAAAACAAAGCCGCTGCTCTGTCTCTCTATACAGCACTGACTCAACAGAAATCTGCTGCCTCACCCCCATGCCTCACTAACCCCTCCCTCTCTGATCCCCCCAGAAACCATACCCCTCCCCTCATGCTTATGGAACATATTACACACTTCCGGAGTATTTCTGGTAGGGTCAAAAGGTCTAGGCTGAGGCCTTCAATCATAAATATGTCGTATTTGAAGACGTAGCCCCACTTTCCACACCCGTCAAAAGGTAGAGGCCATTCTCCCTCCAGATACCGGCTCGGAACATGAAGACGCTCTTATTTTTCCCTTTTTTCCGCGGAGCATCGGTTGCTTCTGATCTGTTACTGTAGACGGTGACGGGGGTGTCACTAAGCACCGATGAGGACCAGTCGCCGCTGCTGCCTCCCATGGGAGAGCAGATCTCTTCCCCGTCCAAGTACAGAGGAACGCAGGGCTGCAGAATGAAAGGCTCCATGTTGTCTGTGCATAGAAAAGTGCTGGCCCTCCCTGTTTTTATTCTCCTCCCTCCACAGACCCCCCTCCCTCTAAGGGAGAAAACAATTTTTTCACACAGGACGTGATGAGTCACACATATGGAATCCAATACACACTTCTGGAGTTAGAAACAATGCAGCAAAGTTGGGTAGTCGCTTAACTAACCGTAGAAAATCTGCTTATAAAAGAAACACACACACACAATTTGCCGTTTCAGCTCGATTGTCTGACAACAAAAGTCTTTCTTTAGTGTCAGTGCAAAAAGACAAAGTAATTCCTGTTTGTATGAATTTACCATGAAAAACCAAAATGCGCACAATGGCTGATAAACCTAATTAAAACGCACCCGCTAGGAGAAGACAGAGCGTGCACAGTGGGACTGCATGGCCCGGAAGTGCCCCTTTTCGGATGAGTGAACGCGCGTGCATGAGCGCGTGCTCGTACGTGCAAAAAGTTCCAGTTTTTAAACTCGGCAATGGGGGTGTGGAAAGAACTTTTCCTGGCAGCTGACTTTCCTGAGGATGCCACTGACGTAAATGCTGACATTGGTGAGCTGCTGCTTCTTTGATTAGCACACAGAACAGTTATCCTTCTTGTCTTTTGGGTCTACTCAAACATTTTGTCAATGCAGATGCATTGAAATGTGTTCTTGTTTATGATGATGATTCAACTTTATTAAAAACAAATAATTTTTTGCAGGCTGGGACAGTGACCTCTGACCAGTGACCTCTCAGCAATTCTATTGCTATTACATCTGATTCCACCCTCTGGTCAAGAGACCAGGAAATGTGTCAGCTTCTCAAGCAGAAAGGCGTCTTGTGGTCTTCAAGAAGGTTTGTGTTTCTTTTCTATTTTTATGTTATGAATTACCAATTTAAGAAACACTTGATTCTTCTCGCCTGTCTGTATTTGTCTTTTCACAAACATTCAAGAGCACCTTGATGCCATCACTACCAGCACTCAACCCTACCTACTGGCTGTTGGGGTGAAAAAGAATGACATCCACGGTTCTTCATTATTCTTGACAAGAATGCCATACCATGCAAGTCTACCTCTTCACTTGGTGCTTTTGATGAACTGTTTAAAGCACATTTTGTGTTTGGCACATCTTACAACACTATGCTTCACAACATGAACACATTCATCCAAACCACAGGTTTTAGAAAACATTTAAATACCAAACACCTTAACTATTTTGACCAACAGGCTGACACTAATGTTAATCTACTGCCTGATGTGGCAGTTAAAGAAGTTAGCACTACAGGGGAGGTG